ATAAATAATGACCAACTAAAAATACATATATACAAAAAATTAGCCGGGCATGGTGGCGCATGGCTGTAGTCCCAGCTACTCGGGAGGCTGAGGCAGGAGGATCGCTGAGCCCGGAGATTGAGGTTGCTGTGAGCCAGGCTGACACACGGCACTCACTCTAGCCTGGGCAACAAAGTGAGACTCTGTCTCAAAAAAAAAAAAAAATTTTTTTGAAACAGAGTCTTGCTTTGTTGCCCAGGCTAGAGTGAGTGCCATGGCGTCAGCCTAGCTCACAGCAACCTCAAACTCTTGGGCTCAAGCAATCCTCCTGCCTCAGCCTCCTGAGCAGCTAGGACTACAGGCATGCGCCACCATGCCTGGCTAATTTTTTTGTATATATGTATTTTTAGTTGGTCAATTAATTTCTTTCTATTTTTAGTAGAGACGGGGTCTCCTCAGGCTGGTTTCGAACTCCTAACCTCGAGCAATCCGCCGGCCTCAGCCTCCCAGAGTGCTAGGATTTCAGGCATGAGCCACCATGCCCGGCCTTATGGGGGTTTGGGCCCATGTGCAGAGGGCTCACGTGGGAGGTGTCAGGCCGTGCGCAGAGGGTTCATGTGAGACCTGTCAGGCCGTGTGTTGGGCAGTGCACAGAGGCCTCACGTGGGGCGTGTCGGGCCGTGTGCAGAGGGCTCACGTTGGGGGTGTCTGCCCGCTTGCAGAGAACGAGAAGCAGAGAGACAGTGAACATTTAGTAAGGTAGATAATGGGAAAAAGACACTCATCCACCATGGTGGCCCTGTCTGCGACTGGCCCAAAGGGAAACTGGGTCCTCCAAGTTCCAAAGACCCCTCCCTTTGCCTGCTGATGGGAACAGGAGTGCTGCCTCTGCCCAGAGTAAAGCAAAGACCCTTCTGGGGATGCTCCCAGGGCCAGGGGCTGACTCTCCCTCCCTCTCCTCTCTGCCTGTGATCATCTGGATGGAAGCTCTTCCTCCTGGGGCTGTGTGCCTGCCTCTTCTTCGCTCACTCACTTTGACTTTGCCCTAAAACAGGGTTTCACATGGAGGAAGTCAAAAGGAGGATGGTTGGAGGAGGAAAACAGAAAGGGCCCTTCCATCCAGCCTCCACAGGCAACCACTGTTCCTCACTGCCACTGTACCGAGGGTATGGGCGCTCTGTTGGGGTGTGCTGCCTGTCAGCAAATGTGGGTGTCAATTCTTCCTGCTGTCTTCTGTCTCTCACTGGGAGGCCCCTGAGGGAGCCCATGTGATCGCTGGTGCTGATGCATACAGACCCAGCCTCTGTCCCGGACCACCGCACCACCGCCTGGCTGCCCCCCACCCCCACCCCCACCCCCAGCCTCCTGAAATTATTTTTGAAATGACCAGTCGGCTTTCTGACTGCCTGGGAAGCACTTCAGTGGGTGGGAGCTGGACTGGGGGCTCCCACAGCCACTGTGCTTCCCCCATGAGATCACACGTCACACGGCTGCAAGTGCTTTACCGTCCATCTCCCCCACTAGGCTGTGAGCTGCAAAAGAGGGGGACCCTCCTTGCTTCTCTTTGTATCTCTAATGCCTAGAGCAGAGATGATGTTTGATAAATAATTGCTGAGTGAGTTGAAATAATCTGTTCACATATCTGACTCCCCTACCTGACTTGGCTAAAGAACCCCTGCAGAGGGAAAGCTTTGTCTGATTCATTCTGGGACTCCCCCCGAACAGTTCTTGGTATGAGCTGGTGTTCCCCCAGAGGGGGTTTGGAAGCCAGACTGTTTGAAGGGGAGTCCTGGCTCCACCACTAACCAGCTCTGTGACCTTGTGCCAATCGCTTGCCCTCTCTGAGCATGTTTCCTCATCCATGAAATAGGGGTGAGAATGGGCCCCACCTCGCAAGGCACCGTGAGGACAAATGCCTGTCAAGTGTTTAGCACAGAGCCTGTCACATAGTAAATGTGTGTCGGGGGTGAGGGCGGGGGTGGAGAATGTATCCAGAGATTAAGGAGAATCAGAGGAAACAAGCACCATGGATCTCATCATTACTGTTTTTCATGCATCCCAGTGTTTGTCAGAGTGGGGGTTGGGGAAGAGGCCAGTGCCAGAGTGGGGTAACCCCAGGGGGTGCCTGCCCTCCCCCTCCCGCCAGGTCTGCAGAGTCCAAGCTCACCCACCAAGAAGCTGAGCAGCCCCGCGCTGGGTGGCGGTGAGGGGCCAGAAATAACCGCGTTGCTATTCCTGCCTTTCTGGGCTGGGTGGAAACGCTGCCTTTCTAATCTAAAGGCTGCTCTCCACTTCCTGCACATCAGTGGGCTCTTATGTAATGTTCCCCTCCCTCTCCTGCCCAACGAGCTTCCAGAGATTTCTGCAGCCGGCTGGCTTTGCTGCACACTCAGATGGGGGTGGGGGGAGCAAAGAAGCCAGAGGACAATCAGGCTGGATTGTCCTCTGAGCCTAGGGTCCTGCCAGCATCGGGCAGAGGGACGACAGCCTCCTTCTGCACCTGCAGGGCACCCTGGGGCAGAGACGGCCCAGACAGCCCTGCCTAAGGGTTCATCTCCCTCCACCCACCCCTCTTCCCTTTCCAGGGCCCCTCGAGGACAGACCGTGCCACCTCCCCAGCGATTGTGCCTCAGTGTCTTCCATTTCAGGCCTAGCCTAACTCTGTCTGGCACATCACTCCTCAGGCAGACCCCCAAGGACAGCAGCCCAGATCCCAACTCTCCTATGCAGAACCCCCCACTGGGGCCAAATCCCCTATGGTCTCTCCCTGCCGCCCTGGACCCATCTGGGTGTGCCAGGCGCCCTCCTCAGCACCCTCTTCAGACCCCGTGTGCCGCAGGCCGCAGCATCACTCGCACGGCCCTTCTCCGCCTAGGACTCCGGGCCGTCCTCTGGCCCCTGCAACTGCAGTAAATGAGATGGCTTCACACTTCACCCTCTGGCACGATTGTCTTGTCGCTGCCATCTCCCACCTTTCCCCATGTCTCCCCCTGTTGCCCGCCCTCTCAGTGCACCTTCTGTCCCTCCCCACGCCTGGCTTCTTCAGGCTTCTTCTCACGCCGCAAGGCCCCAAGGGGGTGGGAGCAGAGCTGCCCCCGACCCATGCAAGGCCAATGCCTCCATGTTTCCGGTGAGGCCATCAGTCCTCGGAAAGTGTGACGGGCACCCCAGACAGAACCCAACAGAGAGTCACTTCCTGAGCCCCGGGCCGGCCACAGCCGTGGCAAACCACAGCCTGAGCATGTGGGTGCTGACGTAGTCCAGGCTGGGGAGGAGGAAGCGGCAATGGAAAAAGGGGCTTGTTTTCCTCCGAGAGCTGCAGCCTGCTCAGCCCCGGGTTGGGTGTCAGAGATGTGATGGTTCCACTGGCCTTCTCCTGGAGCCTTAGCTGCCTTGGGCAGGCTCAGCTCTCTCTCGTGTCTGCC